CAGGCGACCCTTGTGAAAGGGTCTTTCAACCTGCAAAAGTGTCGTGACCGATAAGTTGAAATCGCTTCCTTAACAGACCGTACGTGGAACCCAGAGCCGCTCTCAGTATCAGGGACTCAACACTGAACAGGAGTGCATCTTTCCCTCCTGCCTGCCGACAAACCTGTTCTGATGGTGTGCCCTGACATCCCAGCTTCCCCCACCAGAGCTGGGGGGCTTAGAGTGTAGTCACATGACATCTCCTCCACGTCCTTTAGCTTGCCGCGCTGCGGTCTCCTCCTCTCACTCTGCGGGCTCTCTTCTCTCCCAGTGTTAAGTCCATAGCTTACAAGGGAATTGCCTTTCAAATGAATAAGTAATTGAATAAATGGGCAAACCAGAAGGCAGCATTTGTAACCGTCGTTTTCCGGGCTCGTGCTCCACTGTATTTTCAAGGATGGAAAGCGACCACACCATGACCAGTACAGCAGAAGCCGCAGTTCCCGGAGATTAGGGACATTTTGTGAATGAACTTTATTCCTTTCTCATGTGCTCTGTCAAAGCTGACAATCTCTGATAAATACTATAACAGCGTTGGTTGGTTTTCCTTTAAGTCACTTTAATTCTAATTTCTGCTCTCACTAAATAATTTTTGTAAAATGTTCCCATGTGGTCATGTTTTGTTCTTTTTTAATTTTTTTTAAATCTCTTTTCTCATTTTACATGCCAAATCTACTTCCCACCTCCTCCCTCCTTCTTGCTCTCTCCACCTTCCCTCTCCTACCCCCCATCCCCCATCTACTCCTCAGAGAGGGTAAGGCTTAGTCTAGCACATTGCTTTGAGGCAGGATCAAGGCCTTCCCCCACTATATCTAGGTTAAGCAAGGTCTCCCTCCAGAGAGAATGGGTTCTAAAAAGCTAGAGCAAACATTAGGGATAAATCCTGGTCTCACTGTCAGTGACCCCACACAGTCTGCCCCACATTCAGAGGGTCTAGTTTGTTCCTATGCTGGTTCCTTCCCTGTCAGGCCAGAGCTGGTGAGCTCCCGTTAGCTCAGGTCAGCTGTTTCAGTGGGTGTCCCCATCACGGTCTTGACCTTGTTGTTCATATTCTCACTCCCCCTCTTCGACTGGACTCTGGGAGCTCTGCCAGTGCTCCGCCCCGGTTCTCTGTATCTGCTTCCATCAGTTGCTGGATGAAGGGTCTATGGTGACATCTAAGATAGTCATCTGACTACAGGGCAAGGCCAGTTCAGGCTCCCTCTCCACTCTTGCTTAGGGTCTTAGCTGGGGTCATCCTTGTGGATTCCTGGGAATTTCTTTAGTGCCAGGTTTCTTGCTCCCCCACCCATAATGGCTCCTCAATCAAGATAACTCTTTCCTTGTTCTCTGTCTCTGTCCTTCCCCCATCTCAACCATCCTGTTCCCTCATCTTCTCCTCCTCCCTCGCATTTTCCCCTCCTCCCCTTCCGTCTTCCCTTCTCTGCCCTCCCCCAGCACTTCCAATTTTCTCAGGAGATCTCATCTATTTTACCTTCCCAAGGGGATCTGTGTATGTTTCTCTTAGGATTCTCCTTGTCACTTAGCATCTCTTGGTTTGTGGACTATAGACTGCTTATCCTTTGCTTTACAACTAGTATTCACCTATGAGTGGGTGCATACCATGCTCATCTTTCTGGGTCTGGGTTACCTCACTTAGGATTTTTTTCTCTAGTTCCATCCATTTGCATGCAAATTTCAAGATGTCGTTTTTTTACTGCTGTGTAGTACTCCATTGTGTAAATGTACCACATTTTCTTTATCCATTCTTCAGTTGAGGGGCATCTAGTTTGTTTCCAGGTTCTGGCTAATATAAATAATGCTGCTATGAGCTTAGTTGAACAAATGTCCTTATAGTATGGTTCAGCATCCTTTGGGTATATGCCCAAGAGTGGTATGGTATTGCTGAGTCCTGAGGTAGCTTGATTCCCAGTTTTTGAAGAAACCACCATACTGATTTCCAGAGTGACTGTACAAGTTTGCATTCCCACCAACAATGGAGGAGTGTTCCCCTGACTCCACATCCTCTACAACATAAACTTTATGGTGTTTTTGATCTTAGCTATTCTGACAGGTGTAAGATGGTATCTCAGAGTTGCTTTGATTTGCTTTTCGCTGATGTTAAATATTTCCTTAAGTGTCTTCCAGTCATTTGATATTCTTCTGTTGAGAATTCTATGTTTAGATCTGTACTCCATTTTTTAATTGGATTATTTCATATTTTGTTGTCTCATTTCTTGAGTTCTTTATATATTTTGGAGATCAGTCCTCTGTCTGATGTGGGGTTGGTGAATATCTTTTCCTATTCAGTAGTCTGCCTTTTTGCCTTACTGTCTGTGTCCTTTGCTTTACAGAAGCTTGTCAGTTTAAGGAGGTCCCATTTATTTATTGTTGCTCTCAGTGTCGGTGCTACTGGTATTAGATTTAGGAAGTGGTCTCCTGTGCCCATGCATTGAAGGCTACTTGCCATTTCCTCTTCTATCAGGTTCAGTGTGGTCAGATTGATGTTGAGGTCTTTGATCCATCTGGACTTGAGTTTTGTGCATGGTGATAGATATGGATGCATTGCATTCTTCTACATGTTGATATCCAGTTATGCTGGCACCATTTGTTGAAGATACTTTCTTTTTCCCATTGTATAATTTTAGCATTTTTGTCAAAAATCGGGTATTCGTAGGTGTGTGGATTAATATCTGGGTCTTTCATTTGTTTCCATCGGTCAACCTGTCTGTTTCTGTGCCAATACCAAGGTATTTTCATTACTGAAGCTCTATAATAGAGCTTGATGTCAGGGATGATTTTTACCTCCAGAAGTTTCATATTATACAGGATTGTTTAGGCTATCCTGGGTTTTTTGTTTTTCCATATGAAGTTGAGTATTGTTCTTTCAAGGTCTGTGAAGAATTGTGTTGGGATTTTGATGGAGACTGTGTTGATTCTATAGATTGCTTTTGGTAGGATTGCTATTTTTATTATGTTGATCCTACCTATAAGAGCTATGGGAGATCTTTCCATTTTCTGGTATCTTCTTCAGTTTCTTTCTTCAAAGACTTGAAGTTCTTTTTGAACAGGTCTTTCACTTCTTTGGTTAGGGTTACCCCAAGATATTTTATGTTATTTGTGGCTATTGTGAAAGGTGATGTTTTCTATGATTTCTTTCTGAGATTCCAGCAGAGCCCATTACATCCATCCTGTCCTAACAGCACATGGTGCCAGGAAGACCTGCTCTTGACCGCATAGGTCCTGGTCATTGCTAATGACTCCTGACTGATTTGCTTTAGTGCAAGTTTTTGTTCTCTCTCCTCTTCTGTTTCTCTTTCTCTTCCTGTCTTGTCCTTATCCATGTCTCTCTTTTCCCCTGCCTTGTGCATAATAGACCCCTCCCCCCAGTTTTTACAGTTTTCAAAAACAGCCATGAAGTTCCCAAAGAGTGTACAAGTTATTGAGTTGTCAAAGTTCTACATTGGGTTGAGAAGCAAAATTTATTTATGTGGTTTAAGCAGCCTGGTTTATTAAAAACTTTTGTTTCTGGTACTGGTTCTACTTTTCTGAACAACATAGACAATGAAAAGATGATCTCAGCTTGGCGCCTTGCAGCAATTCCGTCTTACGTATCTTTCAAGCTTTGTGTTAGACCTTTCCCACAATTCTTAAATATTTAATTTAATTTAATGTTTCTACTTTTCAAGTAGCGATCAATATCATGTAAAATGTGCTCTGTGTGCATGCGCGCGCGCGCACACACACACACACACACACACACACACACACACACACACGTACACACACACACACAACTTAGACATACCTCAGGCCTCCACACCGGTGAACTTGCTGGTGTACGCCATCAACCTCCTCCTGGCCCGTATGTCCTCATTCTGCCTCCAGTACTGCCTGTCAGTTGCCATCACAGTCGGAGTCACATCACAGAGGAGATGTCTGCCTTCTGCCTCAGTTATTGACCACCAGGCAGAGTGCTAGTTTGGCCTTGCTTACACTTCCGAACTGTGACAACTCTCCAGATTGAATTCAGTGATCACGTCTTTGTTGCCACAGAGACAGAACTGCTTGCTTGGAAAGACTCTGCTGTGGCTCTTCTGCCACCACCTTTCACACCGCTGTGCCTACCCCTGCTCCTCACCCCTGTGACCACCCCTGCTCCTCACCTCTGTGCCCACCCCTGCTCCTCACCCCTGTGCCCACCCCTGCTCCTCACCCCTGTGCCCACCCCCGGTGCGCACCCCTGCTCCTCACCCCTGTGATCACCCCTGCTCCTCACCCCTGCTCCTCACCTCTGCTCCCTCCCCTTTCTTGCCCCTGGGTTGCTAATAATGATTGCTCTTAGATCCTTTGCATATTTCATTAGGACATAAAGGACCTGATGAATATTTGTTGGATGGCTGACTATTTTCTATACTGGCAGTTTCTCAAGGGTTTTCAACTGTAAGTGGGCATAGCCCCCTTTGTCAAGTCTCTTGACTGTCTCGTGGTCTGTCTACAGTTACACTAGTAAAGTGGATCACTATGCAATGTTTATTCACGCGAGGTTCTGTTAATTGTAAGTTCTTTGTGTACTAAATGGAGCTGCAGAAGCCATTTTAGAGTGCACGTTGCTCCTACAATTTGTCCAGCTGTTTGACTGTTTGCAGTAGTCCTGTAGCCTGGCCGTCAGTTCTTGGGGGAAGATCTTGCTAAGGGCCATATTTTAATTGTAAATGTATTTTGAAGTATGTACTCTGAAGTTTAGAGAAAGAGTTAGCTTGTGACATTGTGAGGACAGTCTGAAGGGTTGACCAAGTTGTGCATTTCTGCGTACACAGGTTAAAGTACAGCGCCAGGGTTTTCTCTTTCAGACCTTAGCTCAGGAGTGTCTTCTGAGTGGAAACCAGTGACGATAAATGCCACCTCTGGAAACACTGTAAATGTTTAGGCTTAGTAAATCTTATTTATACCAAAACACTTCTATGTTTGCTTGTTCCTAGGCAGTCATTTGGCACAAGAGTAGAGTACCGGATCACAGGACAGCTCTCATGTCGGTTCTGGGGACTGCTGTGGTGGCCAACTTTGACGCTGTTCAGCACCACTGTGAAGAATCTCAGGTACGCACCAAAACGACCTTTTGTAATTCTCACACCCAGTCAGGTTGTTAGGGTTTCCTTCTGGGATGGTTGTAAGACAAACAACAAAATGCGACACCAACCTTCCCAGCCCTGGTTTCCTTTTTATTTACATTGGTTTTTTTGAAAATTTATTTTCAATGTAGAATCTTCCCTTTACAGTACAGAGTAAAGAATAGATCTTGCTTCTCCTTTATTTCCTTCTTGTCCTGAATACACACTCAGTGTGCCTTCTGTTGGTCTT